TGCATATGGTCATCTTTATTTATTATTCGGTATAGGTCTAACAAAAAAATACATCTAGCCACCCGAAGCCACCACTCACACCTATAAAACTTGATAATGTGGAGTGCTCTCACTCCTCATATCTAAAGTCAGTGTTGTCGTCGATCCATTCACATAATGTATTGGAACCCACAACTGGTGCAGCAGACCTAAAGCGTACACCACATGAACACGTTTGCCGTCATCATTATCGAACCGCTGACCCATCTTCAGGAGAGAGATCTGCATCATCCTTGACAGTACGTCCATTTGTCGACGCCACGACGGCGCCCAATGGTGCCACCGCCCCGCGCTTGTCTGTCCAGACACGAAGATTGTGGTAGATCTGTCATGCGTACCACCTGCCAACCAGGCATGACACAGCGTAGCACCTGTCGGCCAGGCATGACTTGACATCTCACCGAAAGCTCCGTGCAAGACGAATCCGCTCCACCTCCTGCCTCTGTCTTCCAGCTCTGCTTCACAAATGATGCTTCCAAGAGAGAAAACGACACCACAATACTGACATCGTCCGATCTGGAAGACCAGATCCTAGGGTTTCCCACGAAGCAGCATGAGTGGGTCGAAAGTAGGTACACACAGAACACCACCATCGCCTGCCATCCGCTCGGGTTTCACCGACAACTATGTCTTCCCGACTCGCAGCCGGAACTAGATGGCGGATCTCGAGATATGACCATCCATCCACATGCCGACCATCTCCGACGGAGGAGATAGCCACCACCGCCAGCGGCACCAGCCAAATCAGATCTAACCGGAGGCGCTGCCGACCAATCAACCATATCACTAGTAGAAAAGGGGGCGTTAGTCCCGATTTGTAAGGGTCGAACCGGGACTAAAGGGTCGTTACTAATGCCTCCCCCCTTTAGTCCCGGTTCAAACTGGAACCGGGACTAAAGGTCGCGACCACGTGGAGCTCCACCTTTAGTCCCGGTTGGTAACACCAACTGGGACTAAAGGAAATTTTAGGATTTTTTTTGAATTTTTTTATTTTCAAAATTTTGAATTATTTTAACCTCTAATCTCTGATCATCACCCCTCATCACTGCTCAATTTATCCTCTAATCTCTAATCATCCCTCATCATTCCTAATCATCTAACTTCCCGAACGGTCACCCATCCTCCCACTCCCCCAGCCTGAGCACGCTTAACTTCCGGGTTCTATTCTCCCTCGTTTCCAAGTCTGCACTTGTTGTTTTGCTGACGATAGTAAGATGTCAATCCTATTAACCCTCAGGAATTTTGCGTGAGCATGAAGTGACACATTTCACTGTTTGAGTTTGAAACTATTGTTTTCAAAAACAATAATTATTTAGTAACACTAATATTTCTTGAATAATTAGTTTGACCATTGTTTGACCATAGTTTGACCAGATTTGACCAAAATTCAAAATAACTGAAATAATTATTTAGTAACACTAATATTCTAGAATAATTAGTTTGACCATTGTTTGACCACAGTTTGAAATTTTTTCGATTTTTTCACTCTAGATCTTAAAAGCCCCGTAACTTTTTTTCTGTTAGGTTTTTGAGGATTCTGAAAATGTTTAACGGGGTTCCCCTTGTTAAATTTGGATGTAACTTTTCGAGTAGATGATTTTTCATATAAAAAACTTTTTCATCCGAGTCAGTATGCAAAAGTTATGCCCATTTTACTAAATTCTAGAGAGATTTTGCAAATAAAGTCGAAATTCATATTTGTAAATTTTCCCCACATATCACATGGGAAACTTATTTTATTTTATTTTTTTGACATTTTCATCATTTTCTTTTATTTTTTTTTAAAACTGAAAAGGCGATCCACCGGGGGGGGGGGTGGAGTTTGAAAATGGGACCTTTAGTACCGGTTCGTGCCATGATGAGGTACTAATGCCTCAAACCCCATTAGTCCCGGTTCGTGGCACGGACCGGGACTAAAGGTCTAACCCTTTAGTCCCGGTTGGTGCCACGAACCGGGACTAATGGGCATCGCACCCTTTAGTCCCGGTTCGTGGCACCAATCGGGACTAAAAGGTCCAGACGAACCGGGACAAATGGCCCACGTGGCCCCTGGACGCACGAATCGGGACTAATGCCCCCATTAGTCCCGGTTCTAGACTGCAGCGGGACTAATGGGCTTACCCGGCGTGGACCAAAGCCCTCTTTTCTACTAGTGTATGGCCACATCCCCTCTTGATCCGTCCTCCCCACGAAGCCGCCAGAGCAGCGCTGAACTGCCAAGAAAGACGAAGACTGAAGGGCAATCTCGCGCCGCCGGTCCCTTTAGACCGCGGGGCTGCAGCCTAGATCCCCACCGTCCCCATCACCGACGGGCCCGGGCTTAGCTGGCGCACGTCTCTGGGGATGACGAGGTGGAGGAGAGTGGGGAGGGGGCGGCGGCCGGGGCGCTAGAGTTGACCCCCTGATTGCCCTGGAGGGAGCGATTGAGGGAGCCTGGAGCGGGGGGAGGGAGCGATCTGATCTCCTCTGCTAGATAACATCATGGTTCACTACTGTTGAAGATACTGGATTGACAAGTAATCCATCCACACCTACTGCCTGAGACGCTTGTGAGGCACAACGAACCCACCATTGTTTGGAGGAAAGGGACGGGGAAGCCTCACTGACTGCTTAATCGAATTCCATTCACCAGCCGAGAGGAAAAGAAGGCCTCGATCTAGATTGAAGAGAACGGGCATGCTTGGATAGTGGAGATGGACAGATCCTTGGGAGATGATAGTTTCAGCGCCACAAGCCTAGTATAAGCAGCATCAAGATTATAATGGAGGGCAGCATCGAGAGGGGTGTGAGGCAGGGCTCTAGTACTGCCATGTATTTGCTGGATCGAGCGGAGGTGCACATCCTGAAAGAGAAGACATGTGGGATCGAAGGGATTGGGAAGAGAAGGCATTGGAGATACACGTACAGCCTCGGGATTCTTTGAGAGATTGATCTTTGAATTAGTCGTACGCTAGATTGGTTTCTAGTTTTTCTAGAGGATTAGTTTTAGTTTTTTTGGAGTACGCTAGATTGGGTTCTGGTTTTTCTAGACAATTAGATTGGTTTCTGGTTTTCCTAGAGGATTAGTTTCTAGTTTTTTTGGAGTACGCTAGATTGGTTTATTTATTTAGATGATTAGTTTCTTATTTTTAATTCTCTACAATATAAATTGTAGTACAGAGGAAGTTACGTGTATGATGGATTGTTTTTTCTTGGTGGAGAGTTACAGATTGAACGTTAATTATTACTCCAAGTATAGAAGGATTACATGGGTTAATCTACACCATAATAACTCGGTCCCTCTAGATAAGCGGCTCATATTTTCTAATTAACGTAGGAATTATTTGGGAGTCTCTAATTAGTACAGTATAAGTAAGTATAAGTATAGATATAGATATAGATATATATGGATATCAACAGATATAGATATAGATAGATATAGAAGTATACATATGAAAATACCAACAACATATTAACAATATGATCTTGCAGTAATTTATAAGTTGGGCCTATCCAAGACCATTATTCCAATAACAATATGAGTCGTCTCTTTTGGGGGTTGGAGGGAGTACATCGTTCGGTGAATATGGGTCATCAGATGCAGAAGATCAATGGTGATGATTAAGGCGTCGTTGTTGTTGACAATAAAACATTAGACAAACCTGGACCGCTAGATTTATATGATTGAAGGGCTGATATAGTTTGGATCCAGCCCAACTCATGCGTTTAATAATATTATAGCGGAGATGGAGATAGCAATCTTCATGCGATTCTCCCCTTAACCGCCGAGTATTACAAATCTGCATGCGATTCGGTCTTCACCGAGTGTTAAATGATTAATGACTACCAATTTGCAAGCGATTCTATCTTTATAATGGCCGCTCTGAGGAATGTGCGCCCTCTTTTGGTGATTAGAGGGAGTACATCATCGGATGAATATAGTTCATTAGATGCTGAGATTTATACGGTTGAAGGATTGATATTGTTGGTGTTGACACTAAAACATACACAAATCTGAGCCGCTAGATTTATACGGTTGAAGGATTGATATTGGATGGATCCAACCAAGCTTGTGCTTTTAATATCAGTGGAGATGGAGATGAAGATTATCGAACTGCATGTGATTCTCTCCTTAATCGCTGAGTATTAAACGGATGCTAATTACTAGCAATCTACATGTAATTCTCTTCTTAATCGTTGAGTATTAAATGGATGATAATTACGAATCTACATACATTTCTCTCCTTATGGCCGTGCTGAGGATATTGCGCCCTCTTTTGCCGATTAGGCTGGTCGTAATGGAGAGTATCATATATTAGTATGATGCATATGATAATAGTCTTTAATACTTATCCGTAGTGCATAGTATTATATATTGGTATCATATGATAGTTCATTTATTGCCTTGCATGACACATAGTAACACATCATGTAATATGATACGAGACCATGATATGATACTCAACCATTTCTTGCTTTATTTATTTCTATGCCATCTCATCACTATTGCCTAGTTGGCTTGCATAATACTACCTGTGATACTCCCATTACGGACAATCTTAGAGAGAGTACATCACTGCATGGATATGGGTCGTCGAATGTAGAGAATTAATGGTGAGTATTAAGACATAGTTGGTGTTGACAAAACAATACAACATAGTACAAGAAAAATCTGAAGAGCCAGATTTATACGTTTGAATGGCTGATATTGCTTGGATCCAACCCAACTCTTGCTTTTAATATTAGTGGAGATGGAGATGGAGATTACCTATCTGCATGCAATTCTCTCCTTAATCGCCAAGTATTAAATGGATGCTAATTTCCAATCTACAAGTGATTCTCTTCTTAGTCACCGAGTATTAAATGTTGTGGCGTGTGTCCTCCCCAGCCTCCCTATATATAAAACGGGCTCCACCCCTGCCTAACTCGTCCAGTACACACACAACCAAAACAACACTTCTTGCCTCTTGAAAGGAGAGAAGATGTCGCTCCTCCTGGTGCTGATCAGTGTTGTGGTCGGCATGGTCGGCCTGCTGCTTTGGTGGAACGAGGTAAGGTACGGCAGGAGAGGGAATGTGTGCCTACCGCCGGGGACAATGGGGTGGCCTCTGTTCGGCGAGACCACCGAGTTCCTCAAGCATGGGCCGAGCTTCATGAAGCGGAAGGGGCTCAGGTAAGTCCATCAACTTGCCGCTCGCTCGCATGGTTGACATGATGTTGCATTTCTGGATACAACATTGCTCAATCTAACCCCGAGCATGATGATACTCTTTGCTTGCATGCTTTCTACAGTATTAAGAAACAAAAAGAATATATAATATTACCTGCGTCCTAAATTTAAATTACTTGTCTTAGATTTGTTTAGATACAAATGTATCTAGACAAATCTAAGACAAGTAATTCTGGACAAAGGAAGTACTATACTAGCGTATTATAAGTTTTTTTTTCTAAAATTACTACGAGGAATTAATCCATGGGTCGCCGCAGATACGGGAGGCTTTTCCGGACGCACATTCTGGGGTGCCCCACAGTGGCGTGCATGGACCCCGAGCTCAACCGCCGGATGCTGCTCCAGGGCGAGTCCAGCGGCCTGGTCCCTGGCTACCCGCAGTCCATGCTCGATATCCTCGGCCGCAACAACATCGCTGCCGTGCATGGCCCGCTACACCGAGCCATGTGGGGTGCCATACTCGGTCTCCTACACCCCGCCGCGATCCGCGCCAGCCTCCTTCCCAAGATCGACGCCTTCGTGCGCTCCCACCTCGATGGATGGTCCGGCTGCATCGTCGACGTCCAGGCAAAGACCAAGGAGGTCAGTCAGTAGTCACCAAAGAAATGCTCATTTTTCATACTATTTTCATCCAAAGTGGTTGTTGCTGAGTTCTATACTATCTTCTTGAAAAGAAAAGAAAAGATAGTATCATATTTCAGGACATCATCATTGCTCGTTTGGTATTGTGTGCTTGTTGAAGAGTTTTATAGAAGCATCTCCTTGCATGGGCATGCCAACACATATCACATAATCTTACTTGCTCATATTGTAGCTGACTGACTTTCCCTTTCAGATGACCTTGCTATCCGCACTCAATCAAATCGCCGGCATCACCCCTGGCCCACTCTCCGACACCCTCAAGACAGAGTTATACACCCTTGTGCTCGGCACCATCTCCTTGCCCATCAACCTTCTAGGGACTAGGTATTACCAGGGCTTGCATGCGAGGAAGAAGCTCGTGTCCATGCTAGAGCAGATGATCGCGGAGCGGAGGTCCTCTATTCAAGCTCACGATGACATGCTGGACGCTCTATTGAGAAGCGGCGATGATGGGGCCAGGGAAAAGCTCAGTGATGATCAGATAATTGACTTGATCATCACCCTTATTTACTCCGGCTATGAGACCATGTCGACGACCTCGATGATGGTTGTCAAGTACCTGTCGGACCACCCACGGGCTCTTCAAGATCTTAGGGTATGTACACATACTCTGAAAATCGATATTGTTCTTGCGGGAAAAAACAATTTCCATTTTATAGAAAAGATCATGTGCTTCAAGAGTTTAATGATTATCTTTTCACTTCTGAATCCAGAGAGAGCATCTTGATATCAGGAAGGGGAAATCCTCGGAGGAGGCCATCGACTACGAGGATTTCAAGTCCATGGCCTTCACTCGAGCTGTATGTAGAAGATCAAACACACACAAAAATGTTGTCATAGTAGGAATTTACTATGAGTATGAATGATCATGATGTGCCCACGGATACTTCTATGCAGGTCATCTTTGAGACGCTAAGATTAGCCACAGTCGTGAATGGGCTGATGAGGAAAACTACTCAGGATGTAGAAATGAATGGTGAGTTATGCTTGCAAATCATCCTCCTACTTCAGCACTTTCTATGTAAATATTAAGTTTGTTCTCATGCGGCATTACCAATTTCTTTTAGGGTATGTCATTCCAAAAGCCTGGAGAATCTATGTTCACACAAGGGAGATAAACTACGATCCATTCATGTACCCTGACCCGACAACCTTTAACCCATGGAGATGGTTGGTAAGCAACACAGCGGACAATTATGATCTTTACTACCTACTCAAACATACCACCACAACAGAGGAAGTTCTAATCTTGTGCTGTCCACTATAAATATACAGGAGAAGAACATGGAATCGCACCCATATTTCATGATGTTCGGAGGAGGTGGCCGGATGTGCCCCGGAAAGGAGGTGGGCACGGTAGAGATCGCGACTTTCCTCCACTATTTCGTGACTCGATACAGGTCTGTTCCTTTTGTGACTCCACACTCAGTTGCTAAGAAAAACAACTCAAGCATTATAATTTACATACAACGAATATTTCTCACTCGGTCTTGATGTTGCAGATGGGAGGAGGAAGGCAGGAACACCATCTTGAGATTCCCCCGGGTGGAAGCTCCCAACGGGCTATATATCCGAGTTCAAGATTACTGATCTTGCAACATACATTTCACATAGTTTAGATTGATAGGACCCAGATGGGGTTGATGAGAGCTTGACACTAGTGTCAAAAGTCTCTTATATTTTGGAATGAGGGAGTACAATATAGTTAGTATAGCTAATTAGGGAATAATTGAGGTAGAATGCTCATGTGTTATTTTCGTTCGATCAAATCTTAGACTGAAACAGATGTATCATGCGGCCAGCTTGTACTAGATACCCGCAAAAAAAGAAGATAACAAACATGCAGCACAATGAAGTAAAGACTGTGATATTATTTCTGAATAAGTTGTGGATTGAGAGTCTTGGGTTGTGGTGCAGCTATCAAGGACTAGAAAAAGGGATGTTAGTGGCGCACCTGTTTTTGCTATTAATGGCGCACTACAGGTGCGCCACTAGTAACAAATAGTAATGGCGCACCTCTGGTGCGCCACTAGTATTTCAGATAATAGTGGCGCATCACACCGTGCGCCATTACTATGTCCACAAGTGCACCATTACTATGCCTCCCAGGGGGCCATATTTACCTTGTGCTCTCGGTTACTAATGGCGCACTTTCATATAATGTGCCACTGGTGTGTTTATTCCAGTGCGCCAGTAAGTGCAATACGGTGTGCCACTACTACGAATATTAGGAATTTTTTTTTCTTTTCTGATATTTGCACAGGTTACAAAATACATTACTGCACAGAATATAGACAACACAACATATAAACAGCAGATTTATTGAATACAATAGAAAATTAGTCTCCAAATACAAGTCATCATATTAGTCTCCGAATTCAAAATACCGAACAAAGTTAGAACATTACAAGTCTCGAGACCGCGAGTAGCGAGTTTGTCTTCACATTACAAGTCGATATCGATTATCTAAACTACCATCACATAGAAGAGAGTTGCGGTCATCACGATGAGCATCATCGCGATGAAATTGGTCTTCATCCGCTTCCTCCAACGCTCCCTCCTCTCTCCCCTAGATAGCGCGCGTATCTAGCTTCCGCCTCCGCCCTAATGGTGTACCCTTTGTAACTGTTACTGCTGAAACGGTGAACCTGTCTCCAACACTCCTCCCAGTCGTCGTAGACTCCGGAAACCTTACCCTTGTACACGACATATGATGACATCTCTATGCACTAGACAAACAAAACGTTAGTAGCAATTCACAGACAATACATAAGCAATATATAAGTATGCAACAAAAGGATCGGAAGAGAAAAGCAACACATTAATAGCATGATTCATAGTCCTACTAATAAATAGCATTGTTTACATATAAGTTGAACGACTATCCAAACTAAAGAGACATACAAGTTCATTAAAGTTTAATTACAACATGAGCTAATCGATATTTCAGAACTACATAGCATCACTACTTTCAACTCGACTCAGGGACCGGAGCGTGGATGAAGCCGCCGTCTATCGTGATGGTCATGAAATCGCGGTCGTTGTCATCCTGCATTTGTAGCTTTGTTTTTATCTCACTGTTGGATGGTTGATATCTGAGGTGGAACTGCCCCGAGGTACGAAGGACATTTTGATGGATGATTTCCGCAAACTCCGACTGGATGCGAAAGAATTCTTGTCTGATGTCCGCGTCCTGGATTGCCGACAAGCATGTGGCCCAATCTTTGAGATTATTTGGTAGCAGAAGGTGATTATGGTCCCGTACGATCGCCCGCATGTGATTGAGGGCGTAGTAGGCATCTTTTTGACCGCCAGGCGACTGCTTGACGCAGGGGAACATCATATTGTGGGTGAACACGTGCTTGCCGTACCTACGAATTGGCCTGCTGAAGGTGCCTCCAGATCTGGCATAGCCGGAAAGAGCTTCATCAAGAACTTTCTTGATATTTGTGTAGTCTTTCTTCGACTGACGGTCCGAGTCAAAATACGTGGACATGGAATATTTCGGACTTAAGAGGTTGAGTGTGCAATGTGTGTCACTGCACAAAACATGGAATGTTAGAAAAAAAAGAACGATCGAAATCTAAGAAATCATATGTTACGGGGCGGTGAGGGGATGACTTACTCAGGAAAGTAAGGCACGAGGAAGTTATCCTTATATGGGTCTGCCAAAATGACGCCTTCGAGGTATGAACTCGTGACTTGCCGGTCCCCAGCGCTGCCCAAGATCTTGGCACGCATGTAGAAGGGGCCGACTATCACGATGTCCGGGGTCTTGTCTCTAATGATCCACATCTCCATACTTAGTGAAAATAGCCGAATGAAGGTGTAGTGCAGCGGATGAAGGTTAAATATAGCAAAGATGTCATCAAACCACAGGACAATCATACCCTCGATATTGTGTTATCCCATGTCGTTAGCTTTCCAACAAACTTGGTTTCGTTGAATTCGGAGTCCGTTTGCAAAAGTTGTGGCTGTTTTGGTAAAGGCTGCAGCGGCACTACCGCGACTAGAGCGGATATAATTTTTTACTACCGCTCCAGAGCGGTACTACCGCTCCAGAGCAGTACTATCGTGGCTCCTAAGCGGTAGTACCGCCCCGGACCAAAATCTCGTGTTTTCTCTCTCGTTTGGGCTGTTTTGGCCGTGCTAAGCGGTAGTACCGCTCCTCCAAGCGGTAGTACCGCTTGTGCACGACCTGAGCACATAACGGTTGGATTCGAGAGGTCCTATAAAAGGGGGTCTTCTTCCCCAATGAACCTAATCCTTTGAGCTCGTGTTCTTCCCCCATTGTTGACCTTCTTCGAGCTTGCTAACTCTCAATCCCTCCATGGATTCTTGCTAGTTTTTGAGGGAAAAGAGAGAGGAGATCTAGATCCACGTTTCCACCAATCACTTTCTCCTCTAAGTGAGGGGAACCCCTTGGATCTAGGTCTTGGAGTTCTTCGTGTTCTTCTTTCGTTCTTCCTCTCATTTTCTCCCTAGCATTAGTTGCTTTGGTGGGATTTGGGAGAGAAGGACTTGGGCACTCCGTGTGCCCTTGCCATAGCATTTGGTGCATCGGTTTGAGTTCTCCACGGTGATACGTGGAAGTTACAAATTGAGAAGCTTATTACTCTTGGGTGCTTGGTACCCTTGAGCTTGTTCCTCTTGGGTGTTTGGGCGCCCTAGACAGTTGGTGGTGTTCGGAGCTCAATCATTGTGGTGTAAAGCTCTGGGCAAGCGTCGGGGTCTCCAATTAGGTTGTGGAGATCACCCCGAGCAATTTGACGGATACCGGTGACCGCCCCAAGGGTTGCCACAGTGTACGGGTTCGGTGACCGCCCCCAAGGGTTGCCATTTGTACGGGTTCAGTGACCGCCCTCAAGGGTCCCTTAGTGGATTCACGGCATCTTGCATTGTGCGAGGGCGTGAGGAGATTAGGTGGCCCTAGTGGCTTCTTGGGGAGCATTGTGCCTCCACACCGCTCCAAACAGAGATTAGCATCCGCAAGGGTGTGAACTTCGGGATACATCATCGTCTCTGCGTGCCTCGGTTATCTCTTACCCGAGCCCCTTTACTTATGCACTTTACTTTGTGATAGCCATATTGTTCTTTGCCATATATCTTGCTATCACATAGTTGCTAATCTTGCTTAGCCTAAGTTGTTGGTGCACATAGGTGAGCCTAGTTGTTGTAGGTTTTGTGCTTGACAAATTAACCGTTAGGTTTATTCCGCATTTGTTCAAGCCTAAACCGTAATTATTTTAAAACGCCTATTCACCCACCCCCCTCTAGGCGACATCCACGATCTTTCATCGACCTTGACGACATTTTGCAGGCCTTCCCGGCGGTCTGGACTACCTTCCCCATGCGATATCTTGGTCTTTTGCTGTCGGTCACAAGACTAAAGCGCATCCATTTTCAGTATTTGGAGGACGAGGTGGCTGTAAAGCTCCCACCTTGGTCGGCTATGCATGTGGCTACGCCGGGGCACATTATTTTGGTCAAGGTCGTGCTCACTGCCATTGCCATTTACCACCTAACGCCCCTTGACCTTCCGGTTGAAGTGATGAAGAAGATAGATAGCCTCCGCCGTGCCTACCTTTGGGCGGGTTGTGATAAGGTGACTGGCGGAAAGTGACCTCGTCTGCAAGCCCAAGATTTATGGTGGACTAGGAGTGCTCAACCTCTAGAAGTTTGCGACTGCGCTACGCTTGCGTTGTCTCTCGCACGAATGGGATGATCCACCTAAGACTTGGTCTGGCTCAGGAATGCCTTGTACTAGCAATGACAAAGATCTCTTCGCCCCTGCCACACGGGTGTGCATTGGAGATGGAAACAAGGCTAATTTCTGGGAATCTCCATGGTTGGACGGCCTCCGGCCTAAAGACATTGCACCAAAGATTTTTGAGTTGTCAAAAAAGAAAACGTGCCTGGTCAAGAAAGCTCTTGACAATAACCTTTGGATCCGCCACATTGACACTCTGCAGGGGCTAACCTTGGCCCATATTCAGGAATTTGCAACCCTGTGGGGGATGCTTGCTGGTGTAACCCTCAACCAGGGAAGCCAAGACACCATAACTTGGAAGTTCACAAACAGTGGCGAGTACTCCGCCTCCTCGGCTTACATGGCGCAATTTACTGGTCTCTCCTTTTGTCCAATGAATGCTACAATATGGAAGATGTGGGCTCCACCGAAGTGCAAATTTTTTGCTTGGTTGATCTTCCAAAATCGTGTTTGGACAGCCGATCGTTTACTGCGGTGAGGCTGGCCAAGCTGCAATTTGTGCCCTCTTTGCAAGCAAGTGCAAGAATCTACTGCTCACCTCCTATTCCAGTGTAGGTTCATTGTCCGGATTTGGACCAAAATTTGCACTTGGCTTGGCATCCTTGACTCCTTGCCAATGAATTGGCGTCATGAAGACTCAGTTAGAGATTGGTGGCTCAAGGCAGTTAATGGTGGAAGTGGTTGCAGGAAGGCCATCGCCTCTTTGATGATGCTTGTCTCGTGGGAAATTTGGAAGGAGCGCAACGCAATTTTTTTTCAAAATGTCTCTGCCCCGACCTCCATTGTTATCGCAAAAATCAAAGAGGAGGCCCATCTCTGG